AGGTTGATTCCAAGAACGTGGCCGAGAAAGTACAAGATGAGCTTGGGACATCTTGCCAGAAAATCAGGAAGTAGTCAAAAACTGTAGAGACATGTCCATAGGACACAGGAGTCAGCTTGAAGGGGCAACTACTGACTAAATCTGGGACAGTTTCAGCATCAAAATAATGACGAAGAATAATAAATTATAGACATTAAAATAAGAATTCATGAATCTATACTGACATTTTTAAAATGTAAAAATAAATAAATGGAATAAAGAAGACATTTTAGAATACCAACTAATAAATTTAGATGGAATAATGGAATTGGACTATCACTATTTGGCTACTACCATAACTGTATCAAGGAAGAATCATTAATGGATATTAAATGAGGGGTTAAAAGAAGCAGGGTTTATGAGAAACAGGGTATCTACATATTGGCAAAGCATCTCCCCCCCAAAAGATATCCAATTAACTACAAAGAGAGACATAGTAACTTAACAGTGCAGACCCTAGCAGACACCACCTTAAACAAGTGATCAAAATTAACTTCAGCAGTTAACTTTGAATAAGTAGATATCTTGAGTCAACAGAGTGGATGCTCTAAGAAGAACACAGAATCACTGCTGTGGTATTTCTGTTAGTATTAATACAGATCTAATCACAAAGATACATCAGACAACATATTAAGATACTCACATACACAGATATGTACCTACATATATATATGTATACATATATGCATATATATGCATATGTACACATATTACATATAATATGTATGTAAAATTATATACAATGTAATATATGAGTGTGTGTGTGTGTGTGTGTAATGATAAAGCAAATGTGGCAAAATATTACCATTTGGTGAAGCTGCAGGAAAAATATACAGGGATTGTCGAGTTGTTTGTATTACTTTTGAATCTTTAAGTCTAAAATTATTTGAAAATGGAAAAGAAAAAAAAAAGACTATCACCAGCAAACTGGAGGACATGAACTCTTAACATAATACCTGCTTATTTCGGGGAAGGACCAACTCATACAGTCCTTAAGCTTTGCACTGCAGGACTCCAGGGAGTGATATTCCTATGTATGGAATGTGACAGCGTTGTGCATAGGAATAAAGGATGAGATAACCATTTTGACCTGCTTCTATGATTTGCTGTCCTAAAATTCCCAAGTTGTCAAGATAAAAACAAATCCTTCCCTTTACTTAAAGAAGGTAAGAATTTTGACAAGCCATTAAGTAGAAAAAAAATTATGGATATAATATAATCTCAACTACAGAGAGGAGGGAAGTGTACTTAAACATGTATAATGATTACCTCTGGGTAATCATTTACTCAGTGATATTTTCTTATGCTGTCTTCTAAAATTAGAACATAATATTTCATAAGGAAGAAAAGTTTGTTTGGAGTAGGTATTTTATGAGGAAATAATCAATGGTAATGAATATTGACAAATCATAGAGAATGGGAGGAATGACTACTAGATTCAGAAATTAGTAAAACATTGATTTTTGAAATGTTGATCAGCTGAATGGGTGAAATGCATGGAAGAGTCGGGATACATAATGGAAAGAATATTGATTTTGAAATCTGAAGATCTAAGTTCAAATCAGCTTTGTTGACCTAATTGTGTGACCCTGAGTTTTTCTAATCATCTTAAAAGAAAAAAATTAACTGTTCTGTTTTCTGACAAAGTTGTTCTGTAAATCATGCAAGATAATGTATGTGAAATAAAATGTAAAAGGGTAATGTTTTAATCAAATGTAAATACTGATCGGATTTTAAAAAAAGCAAAGTGAAGAAATATATGAAACAAATAGTTCTGAGACATTTTTCTATTTGTTAGATTCATTTCTCAGAGCTACGGATGAACACAAAACACAAAATATCTATTTATAAAAGCCGCATTTCCCCTCCTTTTGCCTCTAAATCTAATTTCTCTTTTCTTTTTATTTAATTCATTCATTTAAAATGTTTATCACATCATTGTAGGTGATCCACTGGCTCTACCCCAACCTCCTGATCTCAGTGAACAATAAGGCATCTCAACCTAAATAAAGGCAGCAAACCACTGTGATTAAAAGCATGGGCTCTGCAGTTCAAACGCCTGGGTTCAAATTCTAGCTGTGCCTTTTTTTAGCCATTTCACCTATACAAGTGGCTTGATCTTTTCCCCGCTTCTTTTCTCATCTTCACGAGTTATTACCTCACTCAGAGGATTTTTGTGAAGATGAAATAAGTTGATGTTATAAAACCCTTAGAATCATTTCTGGCTTAGTGTAACACTGAATAAATATGAACAATTATTTATTCTCATGATGATTATTATTAAAGATGGGTGTCTGGCAAGCAATCAATAACCAACACATAGTTTACTCTCTCTAAATACCTATTCTCCATATAGCTAACTTCTGAAATACTACTCTAATCCTTCAAGACAAGGCTGAACTGTTGCCTCTTCTTGATACCTCTCCCAATTCCAGGGTGAAAAGTACTCACTTTCCCATACAGTCTATTACACCATTACCTACTTTTTAAATTGGCTTTTTTAATGTATTGCTTCATGCTATTTAATGTATTATACCCCCTACTAGATTGTTCCATAAGGTCCAGAAATAGAGTCCTTACCTTTACACTCTAGTAGAACCCAATATGTCTTACATTTAGTCAGTGGCCATTAAGTGTTCAGCTTAAAGAATTTAATTTCTGGCCCTTTTGTTTTTGACATTGGTATTTATTTGGGCAGTATGTGTATAAACAGATTCTACTGACTATACATATAGTTAACATGTTCAGTCTATACTAAACATATTATATAGGAAGAATCATAGATAGATCTAATAATTTCAAAAATCCATTTTAATAAAAATTATCATGTCCAACTTAGCAAAACGATGAAACCTGAGATGCCTAGCAAGTCTAATGATTTTTAGTAGAAAAGGAGTGGTAGAACTACTTATTTGGTTTCAACAAAAGAAAGAAGTTTCAGAAGTCACCTCAGAGAAAAAAAATCCAAGTTAATTGCAGATGTAAAGGTTCCCAAAGTAGTAATGTACTCAATACTCAAGGTACTGGGTAATGAAAATCTAGTATCTTCAAAGGCAGTTTACATGACATAATAATACATAGAAATAATATGTTCTTTTGAAACTCAATGGCTTCTATTTTTGTGTTTGGTGATTTGGAGGTCTTTTCATCTTTTAAATGATTGTTTTTGACTTGGAGGTCTAGTGAGATATAAGAGATTCAGAATTAGTGGGATATCAATTATGATTTCGAAAAGGATTAGCTCCTACCCTGTTACTCAGAAAAGCCAAAAAGATTTCACTTTTTTAATTATTATTATACAGATTTCTGGTTGCTTTTTTCTTTTTCTAGCTGTTTCCTAATATTATTTTCTAAGAAGCCATTGTAGAAAAATATAACTAACACTAGAAGACACACCTGGAACTTTCAAAATCCATTTCTGTACCACGAGTTCCTTGCTTAGGTCGGTTTTAATGTAAACATTTGTACCCTTTCGTTAACAGAAATTCAGTTAAGCATAATCTCATCTTTCCATTTTAATCTTCCCAACAACCTATGATGTAGAACTTCTTTTAAATACCATTTTACAGATGACTGAACTAAGGTACAAAGCATTTGATAACTTTTTCCAAGTCTCTGGGCTAACAAATGGCTAAGTAACCTGTCTGAGTTTAAGCAACTAGCAAGGAGCTGAGAAGTATGGCTCTAGAATTCAAGCTCTTGTCCTCATCTTATTCCACCTTCCTACAACATTTTAGACAAATCAAGTTTAGAGAATACAACACCATAAATTTTGTGACAGATGAAAACTGCTGACATGTAGTCATGTTTTCATTTAAAGATTATGGATTTAGAAAACAACGATTATCTGTTACTTACTCATAAACTGTAGTCCAAATTTAATCTGAAGAAAGCTTATTATCTTATCATACACTTACTATTCATTGTGTGACTAAAAGCCAGCAGCTCTGGTAATGTTTTATGCATAAAGCCTGAAAATCCACGATTCACTACACAACACTATTTTTTCATGATTTACATATAGCTCAACATGGAGTAACACATTGTCATGAAAACGATGTGCAAACAACGTAACTTAATATTACCAATACCTAGATTTTATTTTGTATTTTTCTTTCAAACTATTGTCGAAATACTTTACCATAATCAAACCATTCCAGTCCAATTTGCCTTTTTTTAAGGTCATATAATTAATATTTTCCTCCCGTTTTATTTATTTTTTTAAGCACTTCCGCATTTTCCCTTAACTCTCATCCGCAGGGTCTTGCAACACTGAAGCGAAAACAAACTATCCTAACTGACTAAATTTCAATTTGCTCCTTTCGAAAATGGGAAAAGATACTATTCCAGCAGAGTTGCACCCTGCGATTTAGCAAACGAGAACAGTCTAAGATGATAGTGCCAAACGTGTGAACAGGTGAACGGAAAACCCATTTCTGCCTCGGCCTCCCCGCCCTCGCTCTCCTCTCCGGACGGCCGGGCGGCTGGAGACCGGAGCCCGCCACGTTCTTGCTATAGCCCAAGCCCGGTAGGCCTCGACCTTCCCACTTGCCCGCAAGGCTCAAGGCCGAGTTTGGGGACAAAAGGACACGGCTCTGAAAGGCTTCCGTCACTCCCGAAATACCCAGCTTGCTGGGGAGGGAAGGGAAAACCGAGGCGACAGGACGTTCCGCTCCAAAGAAGTGGCAGAGACGACGCCAGCAGGGTCGAGATAAAGTAGTAATACAGAAGGCAATAAAACTAACCCAGACAAAGTAAGGGGTAAGAGTGACAGAGTAGGGTGTCCCAAGGTCCCACAGCTCGCAGCTTGAAGCCCCCAGCCGCCAGCCGGAGGGGCGCAAGGTCAAAGGCCGTCTGCAGGCGAGCAGATTGGCTGGCGGGTGAGCGCGCAGGCGCTGGGGGGTGGCCCTGGTACCGGCCAAAACCTCATCTGCAGGGCCCAGAATCCTCCAGCCACTCACCAGGGTCTAGGAATTCAGCCACCAGTAGAGACTCGGCCGCCCGAGACGTTGAAGCTGGGAGTACAGAGAGCCCACAGCGGCCCTGCTGCGAGCCCGAGCAGCCCTGCCTCCCGAAGAGCGCTCGCAGAGCTTTCCGGGAGCCCCGAGGGGCGGGGCCGGGATGGGGCGGGGCTCACTGAGTGGGCGGGTCTCTGGTTTCCAGGCAGAAACCCCTGGGGTCCGTGAGGGACTGGAAGGGGTGTGGGTGAGAAGGGAGAGCATTTTCTGGGCGTCTCGTACTAGTGGAGAAAAGGCGCAGAGTAGAGTTGGGCTGTACTCGCATACTCTTTTCCCAACTAGAGATGACTCATTCCTCTGTTAGAAACTGGTTTTCTAAGGTTCTGCTGGGAAGCTTTCACTAATAAAGGACAGCTGTATTTGATGTGAGGTGTCCAAAAGTTGCTTTTAACTGGAGGACACTGGCTGTTTTCAAATTTTTTAAATTAAGGAACCGCTTGCCCTTTAAAAAAAAAATGAAACTTTACTTGAAAGCTAAAAAGTAAACAGATGACATTTTTAATTTGCAAACATATTTATAAAATCACGTTTGTGTTGGAATACTTATAGAAATAATTGAGAACAATGAGGCAGCTGCGAAGAGCAAGAACCTTTGAAATAGGGGTTACAGCTGAAGGTTTTTCACCTTACATCAGCCTCAGAAGCCAAGAGAATTCTCTATTTTGTTTGGTTACATAGTAACAAGGAAATCCTCACAGCCTAGAAGTTGCTAATGCGAACGATTTTGTAAGGGCTCTCCTTAAAATCTCACTGGATCTTTTAAACAAATTTTAATTGTGAAATATACATATGTGAATGTATCCCATATGTGCACATTTTAAAGAATAATAAAAGGAATACCCAGGTACCCACTACATACCTGAAGATTCAGAAAAGTACCAGCATTTTTGAAGCCTTTTAAGAGGCCTCTTTAAAAGTATCTCTTTCCCTCCCAGCCAGACATAATTATTATTTTAAGTTTTATATTACTCCTTTACTTGTTTTTTTGAAAAGTTATATATGTATAAGTCCCTAAAAATATAGCTATCCTGGTGTTGTATTTTTATGTAAGTTATACTACATCTTTTCCTCTAACTTCTTTTTTCACTGCACATTCAGGTTTTGAGATTCAGCTACACACAAATCCATTTCACATGGACTAGGCTGGCACAGCATTATCCATAACACCCACGCTATTGTTAGATTTTAAAACTTTTGCCTGGTGGTAGCATCTGATTGATCTTTTAATTTGCATTTTCCCCCTTGCTAATAGGACTGTGCATCTTTATATGCTTAGTGGCTATTTGGGTTTCTGTGAAATGCCTGTTCTCAATTTTGGCTCATTTTGTTGGCTTGATTGTTTTTGAAAATTAATTTGTTGATAATCTTTATATATTTTTAAAGCTTAAGTACTTCCCTCTTGTCAGTTATACGTGTTACGAATAGCTTCTCTTAGCTTGTGGATTGTCTTTCAACTTTTTACGGTATCTTTTGTTGACCAAAAGCTGTATATTTTAAGGTACTGCTAGTTGAATTTAACAATTTTTTAGATTATAATTTTGTGCTTTTTGCTTTCTTGTTTACAAGGGTCTTCCCAACCAGAGGCCATAAGCTCTTCTCTTTTATTTTCTTCTAAAAGTTTTAACGCTTAATTACAAAATATTTTAAACACAGAAAAGTACAGATAACTTAATGAACGACCATGCACTCAACTCTATGTATCCAAACATTTTGCGAGCCCCCCTTCCTTACGTTTCTTCTCTAAAATTTCCTAAGCTATTCTTGTCTCTTTACTTTTTCATATAAACTTTAAGATGAGTCAGCCAAGATCCATAAAAATCCCTACTTGGATTTAATTGGAATGGAATTGGCAGAGGTCTACTGAGGTTCAGTGTATATACTGACTGAATTGTGTCCCCAGACTTTCCCAGACTTACTGGTTTAGACAGGCTAGTGAGTGGTGGTTCTGCCTAGTGCTTTCCATCCTTGTTCACATTTTGTCAAACAGAGAAAATCATATTTTCATGAAACATTGAGGCAAACAGCCTACTCGCAGTGAATATGGTGGATCTGCGACTCTGACTATCCCAGACTCTATGTGGTAAATCCTAGGGTTCAAAAGAGTGATATATTGGCATACCTGTAACACATTCATGGCACCCTAGATGAGAAGCTCTTCCCTAGCTAATTAATTTCAATTCACCACAACACACCACTATATAGAGTCTTCAGGAAACTGGGGCTCCTGCAGTTATGCTGGGAGATGACTGAAAACCACAGCGTATGCCACTGTGGCTTGTGGACAGATTGGGAAACCACCCATTTGTGGCATCCATCTATGAATGAGGACTAGGTTTGGACAATCTCATCAGTGCTCTATATAAGCAAGCCCCTGTTTGTCTTCCATGCACTAGTGTTATTTCCCAGCTCTGCATCATGCAGTTTTGTTTCATAACTTAGTGCATGTCTTTGTAGTTCTTTTCTTCTCTTGCAGTAATAGGGGATTTGGAAAAAGGTGAGCTATCAGTGTCCTTTTGGTCATGAGAGATACATTTTGTCATGTTCCTTTTCTGATTGGCTAGTGAGTTTATACCACTTCAGGCTTTAAGCTCCCTATTCTATTTGATTACAGTTTCAAGAGGAATATTAGAATCGTAGCAGTAGAATTTTAATGCAGGCCTGTGTATTCCAGGAAGAAGGGTTTTCTGAGAGTCCAAGTTGATAATACGCCTAGGGACAGCTGAGTCAAGTGGTAACTAGCAAGGCAGATTTTGGTAGCACCAGCCTTTCTGTTATCATATATGGATTTTCAACCCCCTCTTTTCTGTATTATATTTTTTCACGGTAAACTTATAAATTTATAATAACCATAACTAGCAAATAGGTATGTGTTCTTAAAATAGACAATACAACCCTCAGGACCCACACTCCCTTACTTTCATTCTTCTAGGATTCTATGATATTGGAAACATTACTCAATTTCTATTTCTATCAATTTTTAAAACTGATAAATGGGTGACAATAATTTTCCCTAGAGAGAGAGAGTTATCTAAATGGGCAAATTAAAAGCTGAAAGGAGTTTATGTCCTGAAGTTCCCTACTGCACTGGAGAAGACTAGTGTCTCCTTGACAACATAGATTTTGCCATTTTTATCTTTATGTGTCCGGAGCCAACAAAAATTGTTGTCATGTAACCAGAATTCAACAAACAATTTTTGGGGGTGATAATAGAGTGAAAAATTAGGTTACTTAGTCGTTATTATTTAACCCTACTTCCCAATATGTTTGTTCTAGTCCCCAAACTGTCCTACTGTCTGTCTCCTTAATACAGTTGCTCCTCAGTATCTGCAGGGGATTCATTGGTTCCAGAACCAACATCCCACACTAAGATCTGTGGAGGCTCAAGAACCTTATATAAAATGGCATACTATTTGCATATAACCCAGAACATCCTCCCTTATACTTTAAATCATGTCTAGATTATTTATAATACCTAATTCAATGTAAACACTATATAAATAGTTGTAAATACAATGTAAGTGCTATCTAAATAGTTGTTGGAGTGCAGCAAATTCAAGTTCTGCTTTTTGGAACTTTCTGGAATTTTAATTATTTTAAAATAATTTTCAACCTGAGTTTGAATTTGCAGATGTGGAACCTGCAGATACAGAGGGCCAGCTGTATTTCAAGTCTTTTTTTCCCCTCCAATCTTAAAGGTTTTATTAGAGTCTCCGAGGCAATCATGCCATTCTCTCTCCACTCACCTGAGATGTCTTCTCAGTTCCTGTTCACATCCTCTCCACTCCCATCAGTCAGAGTTATTTTTTGCAGGGAATAGAAACTGAATCTGGCAGCTAAAACACAGACAGGCTTTATGTGAAAAGCTACAGAGTACAGCATGAAGGTGAAGGCTAGACCTTTAGGCAATGGCAATGTATAGGAACCCAGAAGGGCTGGAAGTTGGGAGCACAGCTTCATACAACAGTACAGATTAGGACACTGATACTTTCAGGGATGTACTGAACCCTCAAAGTTGTTGATACCACCATGAATAATTTCTCAATTCTGCCTGCATTATTTGTCTCATTTCTTCAAGATTCAAGTTTTGGGCTGGAATAATCTGCTTAGCTACACCCAGTTTATATGTCTGTATCTCCTTAGCTTCCCCAGGTGATGCTATTAGAAGGTGGGGCCATGAGAGCAGAGGTCTCATGAATGGGATTAGTGCCTTCATAAAAGAGGCTTCAGAGAGATCACTTGTCCATTTCTGCCATATGAGGATAAAACTAGAAGTCTACGACCCAGAAGAGGATCCTCACCTCACCATACTGGCACCTTAATCTTGGACTTCCAGCCTCCAGAACTGTGAAAAATAAATGATGTTTATAAGCCATCTGGTCTATGGTATTTGGTTATAGCATCCCTGGACAAACTAAGACAGCAACTAGACTGGTCAAATGTCTTGACAAAGGCTCTTTTCATTCTCTGATTCAAGCACGTGCCCGGATCACGGCACTCCTGCGTGATGGAGATGGGAGAGAGCTCCAGTGTCGTACCTTCCCATACAGAAGTGGCAGGATGTTCACCTCTGGTTGACTGGTGCTGCTAGATGTAAATGCACCAGTGACTGGGTATGGGCCATCTCTCATGAGGGACACCCTGTTCCTTTCACAGGCATGGTGGCAGTTGAGACAGACGCATGCCTTTAGTTGAAAGCTGGACCAGCAGGGATATGCAACACTTCCTGAGTGGGGAAACTACTTCACAGGTTGATCCAGAGCCTCTTTGTGTTTTGAGGGAAGGAAGTGTCATGTATTGTGATAGTGTGTTAGTTTAATACCCTAATCAGCCAAACTGAAAATTTTACACCACTTAAACCCAAGCTTTACAGATTCATTTCCTAAGGCATCAGTGTTTGACTTTCTTCCTTTCCAGGATGCTTTAGGTTCCTTAACCAAATTGACCCAACCTTTCTTCTGCCATAACACCACCCTCTCCTGGCATAAAAAAGGAACAGTTTGCAAAGTCACTGGGAAAAAAAAAAAAAAAAAAAAGGCTGCTATTTCCTAAGATAGATGAGCCCACTCATCCTCTGTTT